AGAGCTTTTGAGTCATTGATATCACAACAATACAGATCATTTATTTTGACAGTTTGTTGTATTACTGTCAGTATTGTTTACTGTGTTTATAATGGCCATTTTAAAGTGTTTGACTCTCATGCCCGAGATATTTATGGTAAGAGTCATCGTCAAGGGACTTGTGTACTGTTAGATATACCATCTAAAGAAAACTTAATACAATACTTTCAAAGATTATATGGAATACACCAAATGTATGAACTTAAAGGTTTACAAATAACAAAATATGACAATGTTTTTGTGCAATGCTGTATCACGTTACGCCCAACTCATTAGTCTCCATGTAAAACCACCTTTCTTAGTCGATCACCTTTTTAAGACCCCAAAGTATTCCGAGTTCGTGCCATTTAGGGCCTGGGAACGAGGTTGTAGTAAGAGCAGCCGCAAACCTTGGAAGACCTTAGATAACAATGACCTCAACCAGGTTGGCGTCCAGCGGTTTTAGCGACAACAAGGGTTTTGGGTGGGGTGCTCAGTCTCGCGGGCTCATAAAACCTGGTCTCGGTCATTGTTATTTAACCCTTACCGCAAAGGGCCCTGACGATAAAAAGCAGCTTAAGCAAAGACAGAAGTGGACATTTTGCATTCTTGGGCAATGGGTTTACCCAAGGTTTACCCAAATTTGCGGGCAAATCCTTTCTATAACAGTAAAGACAGTTAGCAATACAATTTTGGTAGCGTTTAGGCATGTTTAAAGCGAAAAGGTCTCTCTTCCGGTTAACGTGCGTCGCTCAAAAATCGTGGGTGCTTAAGCTCCCTAAAGTGAACACAATCACGAAAGCACTGGGTCAGGCTAGTATATGTTTACTTACACTTCAGGGAAAGCTTGTGTACTGCGCAAGCCCAGGCGTGCCAAGCTTTATGCAATACCATAGCATTTGTCAATCTGTCTGCCTTCTGCAACCTTGCGTTGCAAATGCTATCCATCAATAGCCATTTCTGTGTGAACAGCTAACTGGGTAATGCCAGTTATCAAATATGGTGCCTTCATTTAAGCTGTGTTGCGAGTCAAAACTCGCCGGAGAGATGTTAAAATACTTCGGTAGCCCGGTGCACGTTCTTACCCACTGTTTATGACCCAGAGAACAGTTCCAAGGCGACAAAGGTGCGCTATTTATTCGCACCATTTTCTGTTCAAGATTACCTGTCACGCACCATTCAGGGTTTGCTTCTTCTTTGAACGATAACCTGACAGGCAGGGTAGCCATAGCAACGGTCCCTGTACCCGAAGGACGAATACGAATGAACAAGACACTTATATAACTGTATGCAAAATACTTAACACCAAAAATACCGAAACACAAACAGACAAGATAATACACGTAATTAACCATATAAGAACGTGCAGAAAACAATATCTGCTAAACTGCGTACCGCAGATATTTTTGCATTCTGCACTTTCCAGAAGTTAATAGAAAAACAAGAAACAACATAAGCAACAAATCATGGAGAATATTGGATATGGCCTGGGTGTAACGCCATATGTCCGCCGAAGGAAAAAACAAAGCAAGTCTGAACTGTGATGTAAAGCAAAGAGAAATACTTATCTTAAACGATGCGAAGAGTTAAAAACCCATCGATTGGGGCTGAGCACTCGCTGAAGATCCAAATTGAAAGGAAAAAGTGGGAGAAGTGGGAGAAGCCTAGACCTTCCGATCGACGGGGCGAAAACGGCGACGCCTGCCTTGGATTTCTTTTCTGCTCTTCTCTCTGCCCTATACATCAGTCTCCCTGTTGTCCTCAAAACTCGACGCAAGCTCGCCGGAAAGGTATCCATTCACATTAGACCAGCTTAAGTCACTTTATCGGCCATTTAAAAAACCTTTATACGCGCAGAAACCAACCAGTACCTGCTCCCAGAACCGACTAAACTTGGCGGTAGAATTTGGATTTTAACGCGTCAATTCCTTAAAGTTGCCAAGCACTAATGCAGGGCGTGATCCCGAGCTGCTGCTGATTACCTTCTCTTTCACAACTGAAACTTCGCTGCAAGCCTTATTAACAGTGTTAACGGCTTGCACGACTGACGCATTATTCTCGCAATTTCCTCCGAAAATCGCTTTGTAAAGCCACTGAGGCGATCTTTGATAACCTGCGTAAGGTTATCCGCTAAAGAACCAATAAACTCCGCAACAGAAGCCCTAATAGCCTCATTAATTGAAAGCAACGACTGTTGCATCGCTAACGTTAACGGACAGAACCGAAGATCCTTGCTTCTTGCTCATTAAGAGAGCGATGAAATCAGACTGTGGGTTGTTAGGCGTTCACGGACCCGAAGGACGAATACGAACGAACAAGACACTTATATAACTGTATGCAAAATACTTAACACCAGAAATACCGAAACACAAACATTAACGAGTGTGAAACAGGACAACATAATTGTGAAGCCTACGAATTCTGCAACAACACTAAAGGGTCATTCAGTTGCTCATGTAAGGCAAACTATTCTGGGAACGGCCCGAATGGTGCAGGTAAATTGAATTTACAGCTGTTTGACTTGGCACATGTAATAAAACCCACACGGGGCTTGGACAAGCGAGACGGAAGATTATGACCCCCTCTCCAAATTCAAGGACTGAAAATGGCGTATTTTAGCCCTTCTCTCGGTTCCATCTTTGATTTCGGGGACGAAGGGGCGTGTGTGTGTGGGGGGGGGGGGGTAGGGGGGGGGGAGGGGGGGGCTTTGCTTCGGTCTAAGTCTTTGACCGTGAGACCCACAATAGTGGCGAAAACATACAGAAACCCATATGGA